TGCTTTAAATGCTTAAGTTTCAATTATTTTGACTTGTTTAAATCATGCCTTGAAATCACTGGCAGATATTATCTAAAAATTTCGACGAGATATACAAATCCGTTTTTACAGACGTGTTTTGATCCATACTATATATGTAGGTATTATGAGTTCAATTTCCTCTTACATAATAATATTAGTTAAGTGCAGCTATGTTTCTTAGTGATTCACGAGTCATAGCTACGGTCATGCGTGCAGAGACTTATGAGAGTGTTATTGAAAGACGTCTACTGAAAACTTATCAACCGATTCGTTTAATTTTGCAACTGTCGTGTTGAAAGAAATGCCCGCTAGATGTCGCAGTTGTCAAGATATTGTGAAAAAATCATAATTTATAGACCATGGTAACTGTATTTTAAATAATTACATATTATTATGTACACTTCATCTAACTTCAAGTTGGTAAAGAGTCACAAACAAAATTCCAGAAAGGGTACTCACGGCAAATGATGAGCCCACTGGAAATGCCAAGAAACGCTTGCGACGTGTTAAAAGTTGTTGTCTCTTCGCCACATCGCGCACACTTGTGAGATTATAAATGCCAGTGTTGTTGTTATTGCAGCTAGGACACTTGTATTGCGATAAGTGCTCAAGTTTCTGATCTGACTGCGATGCAACAACAAAATTCTCACCAAAATCCAACGCCTCGAATGACTTGGCATTGCCTGTGGCGACATTAGCACGGACAACAAAAGCAAACAAAGCGTACGCGAGTGCTCGTTGGCTTACAATGGTGTTGCAGGCGAAAAGTACTTGCAACATCTTCGCTGGTGGCCTGCTGCTGTCGCTGCTGCTATTGTTGCCAGTTGACAAACTTGCTGCTGTTGTTGTTGTTGTTCGCAAAATTGTTGCAGAGATTTTTGTTTTGCCAGCGGTATGCTGTTGACTAACGGAATGTGCGGATTAGCTGCCACAAGCGAGCTGCGGTGGGGAAGTCAAACGCGTTGCACAATGATGTGGCGTCAACCGCAACGTGCAACGTAAAGTGTAGTGAAGTGTTCAGTGCGTACCACACACAGACGCACATACACGTGCGCTGTTGTGTTTTCTTATTGTTGTTGTATGTACGTATGTTGTTGTTGTATGACCACCGCACAGTAGTTTGCTTACAGCGGCAGTCTTGTACTTCTATGCGTTGCAGTTTCACTTGCCGCCTGACCTTTCAGCAAACTTTTCTTTATGCTTGACGGAAATTTCTGCTATAACGCTATTCGAAACTGGTGGCAATCCACTTTGTTCGAGTGTCACTTTGATTTTGAATTGAGTTGTGCCGTTCGCCTACAATTTCCGAGCGACTGCTGCTCGGTTCCTTTGTTTCACGCCTGACTGCTGCAAACAGATGGCGGAATATGAGCCGAACAACAACTAAAAGCACAACAACAACAAACTGTTTAGAGCGTAAAAAACAAAATCGTGGAGATGAAGAAAATAAAAACAATAAAAGCGCTTTCTGGCATGACAACTTCAATGCCACTTTAGCCACGAATTGTTTGTTGTTGTTGCGCTTATTGTTGGTGCTGGTTGGGTTTTGTGTAGTGACTAGCTATTGTTATTGGTAATGGAAGTAATGGTTTTTATAGTAGTGCGGTAGTAGTAGTAGTTGTTATTTTTATTGTTGCTGTTGCTTGTGTTGTTGTTGTTGTTGTTATTGCTGCCAGTAATCGCCTGCTCGAGCTTCCTCCAAGTTCCTTTACCAATCTTCGGACTGTCTTTGTATCCTGTCACCATTACCTTTACTCCCCCCTTGCCCCGCCGCTGCGTTCGACAAATGACGCAAATGTTGACAATGACAAAAACAATTCAAATCCCACCAATCCAATCAATTCCGGCAAAGCAAGTAGTCAAACAACCAATCAACCGACAACCAACCTTCCGTTCCTCCGTCCAAGCGTCCATGAACGTAATCATCAGGTCCCTCAGAGTATTGCCTTTGTGTATACCTATGTATATGTAGAACAAAACCAGCAAACAGCGCACAAAAGGGAAGCAGCAGCATTGTGACGACACGAATGGCAGACACAAGCGTGGTGTGGTGCGGACGCATGGAAATAAAGAAAGTCGAGTTTAGAATTTAGTTGTTAATTAAATTAGTTTGAACCTTTTATTGCAGAAGTGGTTCACTTATTGTTCTAAATGCTAGCTGGCTGGCTGGCATATTAGCAAGAACAACAACAACAACGACAGCAATAAGAACTATTGGGAACATTTGCGTTAAGTGCTAACTACAATGGCAAATAGCTGAATACGTGCATTCTATATAAAACCGTTATGTTGGTATATATAATTATAAAAACAAATAGATTTCTAGAAAATTTTGTCAAACGATTTTTAAATAAACACCGTATGGTGTATCTTTATTGGACGAAGAAACTTAGATCTGTCAGATTTTGGCCACCTCTTCTTTTATTTTCAGAGTCTCGGTAAATGAACTTGTTGTACAAAGTCTACCTCATAGTGGATACATCTTGGTGAGCATTTAAAAATTGAAAAGCGCAATCGCAGACGGTCGAATCTATATTAAGTGTTTTCTGCTCGAAGTCATAAAATCAATGGGATCAAAAATTAAGCTCGGATATAAACCTCTATATCAAGTTTTTGAAAACAAAGGTTATACAAGTATGTTCACATGGTATGCCAACTATTGTATAACAGAAAATCGGAATTAACTTAATTATTATTCAACACAACGTTGTTTCCATGGTCCTACATAACCGTAAAATACTTGGATTTTCATTCGACCAATAAAATGTCAACACAGCAGTAGTCTTAAAAAATTATTTACTGCATGTTTTCTTTCTTTAAAAGAACCATATTTTCTTTGAACTATGAAAAGAACGAGCATCTTCTATTAAATTATGTCAGGTTAGGTTAGCTTAAGTTAAGTCGTAGTTCTGCTTTTCGCCACATAGGTAACGCCAGAACCCCTTAAATAGCGAACGTTGGTCCTTTAAGACTTCCAAAACTTCTGGATCACAAGACCCTTTCAGATCGATGAAGCGCTTTGAGCCTACCACAATTGTTAAGTTGGCTAAAATCAATCCTAGCCCCTTTGTCAGGTTCGCCGAACAACTGAGAAGAAAGTATCTGGATAATTTCTCCTCGTCTTCTTCTAAACATCTTCTACAATTTATGCCCGACAATATACAAGTATATAACTTCATCTCATGTGAGTCTAATGGACAGTGTCCAGTCAGAATAAAGCAGAACAAAATATTTTACGATGAGAATAATAATGTAATATATACTCCATTTTACAAGCATACCGTATAGATTGCTGACATTTTGAAATAAAGTTCCATAGCTCATAAACGTCTCAACCACTTTTATAAAAATATTGCCTAAACTTTTTCATCACAGTCTCTGTGGCTATGTTTCGATTTCCACTAACCACTAGCCCTCCTCCGGTTAATGAGAGACTACAAAAGTAAATGTGTTCAATTTTGCCTTTCTAGAATTAAGTAAATTATCTATAAATTAAGAAAACTTTATCATAAATTTTACGAAATCCAATTAAGATAACATCAAACTGTTTTGAAAATGTCTTTGATAAGCTTTTTGTTGAGATATGAATAAAATTGCGTTGAGATTACTGTAATAGGAGAGATCTTTATTGAGCGAAAACTTCATAGTTCTCATTAATTACCATATGTGAAAACACCTTTACTCTCACATCTCGAACTTCTGGAACTATACTTTAATTTATTGAATCTGTAAGAAATTACGTATTTTGTTGGCAGTTGCTTTCTCAGCAATATTTACCACTAGAGCTTGTTAAAAAACATTTTCTTTCAGAGGAATTTTCAATTAATTTGAGATTATTTCTTAAGCAAATCCAACATTTTTTCAACCATGAAATTTCAGACGAGAACTTATCGAACTCAATTGTTGCGTCTGGCATATGGTTACGGCTAACGACTCGCGAATCAGCAAGAGCCTAAATAACGAGGTGTAAAAATTTAGGTAACAAAGGATCTTCTATGAATTTTAAATCTGTTATCACTTCTAACAGAGGAAACGCGGTAAATCCGTTATGTTTATTGAATACTTACACGCTGTTCAAGAGTTTGAATGCGATATGGTGGTAAACGGGGGTGGTCTTATACCATAAGTTCATAGCCTACAAAAGAAAAACAACACTTTTGCAAAAATGGCGATTTATTTCCCAAAATAGTTTCCATTTATCTCGATAAATTTCAACCAGCAAGGCTCCTACTTTTTTAACCCGTCTGGAAAACACACTTCAAAGCAAGCTTTCGTGTCGAAGACAACTTTATCATTCGATTCATACTTCAGCAAACTTCACATTAGATCAAATCTGTAGAACACGGTAGATGAGGTAGCAATACGTAGCCTCATTCCACCAGTTTGGCCGCGTTGATGAAGGAGGTGTAAGTTGATGTGTTGTCATGGTGGAAGGGCACCTTTTTGTTTAACAAATGTGTTCAAACTTTCTAGAATTAGGCATCACATTGGCATATGACACTCATGACCGTTTTACGCTTTTCCAGGTAGTAGATGTAGATCACACCCAAAAAACTTGGGCATCACATTTTCGACAGATATAATAGTCTTATCTTCCTTCGGTGCAGATTTACTGGATAAAGTCTTCTGTTACGACTATTTCTTGGTTACGGCTGTATACCAGCAGATCCGTTTTTTTCAGCGGTTAGGAAACGACTTAGAAACTTCTTCAGATTGCGTTTAAACGGCATTTGACATCGCTGCTAAGTGGACTCACGGTTGTATTTGTTGTCTGAAGTGAGCAGACGTGGCTCCCATAGCGGCGTTAGCTTTATTTCTCATTAAAGACTAACATGCGCCCAATTCGAAACTCGTTAAAATAAATTTTCACGCTTTATTGGAAGTCACTGTATACAGCATCTAAGCGCTCTTCAATTTCACCAACAGAATCACAATGTTTCGAATAAAAGTATAGCTAGAGCTAGACTCGTTGCTAATTGCCCTTACACGGCGTTAACGAAAACAAAAACAGCATTTTAAAGCTATTCACCATCAGAAATTTTTACAGTTGCAAATGAACAACGTTGCAAGTAACTCGAGGCTCCAGCGGATACGCAGCATGTTGGTGTTGCTAGCAAAGCTGCTAATTTGTTGCAACCTCATTGTGGACACGACAGGCACAATACCAGCAACAACAGCTGCGGTCACTAGCATGTTAGCATCGGCAAGTCAACGCAACATGCCACATAATTGGCTACGACGGCAGCGAAGGTATTTGCTGTTTGAGAAGGGTTCAACAGTCGGGGTGAGTTATTAACGGACAGTTGAGGCAAGTGAGGTACGAGTTGCTAGAAACTTTAGTATAGCATAATTGCAGTTTAATATGTGATTTAAAAAATACATTTAAATAAATTTACATTATAATAAGTACACACAAACAAACATACATGCATACTTGCCTCTAAATTAATGAATCGCTCGTTTCTCCGTGCCCAACTACATTCTAGGTGCAAATAGCCAATACGAAAGCTCTTATACCAGAGCAGCCGCGTGGTCTATATTATATCTTTGAATGTACCGCTAACTATGAATTGCCTACAACGTTGGATGATCTATGGCCTCAACTGACGAAAGCGCAACAACAACAACACACAACACACAACCCAACAACAAATGCTGCTGCAGTGCATATGCCGAATATAATAACCTTTAGCGGAAGTCACAGTAATAACAAATACAACAACAGTAACGACGATATTTGGCTACCAACGCAACGACGGCAATGGTTTAGCGCACACAGAAAACAACAGCAACAAGCTAGAAAGCAACAACAACATCTAAAACAATACAATGCACTTCAGCAACATCGATTTCCTTCAGCTTTGCAAGAAGCGAAATCATTGGAATTCACGCCGCCCATATTGTCGAGGAAATTTGCTGCTTATCCGGCGACGCACCAACACTCTGTGTGTCCACGACGAAATGTTTATGGAAGTTGGCAGCACAACAATGTGTCACAATTGTGTGCGGCCGGTCCGAAAACATTGGGGCGTGTACGAAAGCGGAGGGGTGGTGGTGATGGTGAAAACTCTGTTGGTGTTGGTATTGGTGTTGCGGGCGGCAAGAAAAATAATGATTATGCTGTCCATCGAGTTGATGAGCGTCCTGATGAATTCCGTTTTGCTACAAATGCTGAGCGCATTTTCTTCGATTTGCTGGCGCAATGGACCCAAATGTAAGTATTTTCGTGTATTTCTATATAGCTATAAAGCAACAACAACAATTAGTGTTGTTTGTGCCACACCATACTTGAGTAACAACCACAATTCCACGCCTAAGCACTTTAAGCACCTTAATTCTTTTATACTGAGCACTTAAATGTATAACCAGGCACCCTCAGCTCTTCTAACTCTTTCCCAAGCCTCACAAAACCCATTTGTACCAAACTATTTCCTCGAAATTGCTTACCAGTTACACTAACACATACCCACACCGAAACAAAAATTACAATACCACTCGCTGTTTTGCTTATGTAAATGTTTATTGTTGGCCTGTACTTGTAATTGCATTGTAATTACACTGCTAATTGATTTCATTAAGTTGCGGCCCCCTTTAGACACTTCCGCCTTATTAAACATGTTGTTTGTTCATTTTTTGGTTCATCGATTTACATTCCACTTCCGAATATGGTTCGCCTCCGGTGTGCCTCGGCGCCTACTGCACGAATCGGCTGCTTGGTATTCTGTTGCATAAACAATAGTTATAATTATCCACCGCATTACTGTATAATGCGCACCTTCTGTGAAGCTCGCCATATGCTGTTGGCTCGCGGACAATCGCTTTTTCACGATTTGCTGCGAATTCTAATCGAGTGAGTATATGGAATTTGAATTATGGACTTACATATATGTATATATATATGTTTGTATATACCTTGCATTTATTTGAGCATATATAAAAATAATTCAGAAACTGCTTTATCTGTTTTAGAAAACTTTGAAGCTACCCAGCAGAAAAGTCTGAGACCATATAAAATATATATGTACATATAAATGTTCAGCATGATGAGCTGAGTCGATTTAGTCATGTCCGTCTGTCTGTTCGTCCTTCGGTATGTCTGTATATATGCGAACAAGATACACAGCTTTTATGATATCGATCTGAATTTTTGCACACGTCTTGCTTTCCCTAAGACCCTGCCCATTTTCGCATCCGCCGATATCGGACCATTATAACATTTAGGTGCCATACAAAGTAAACGATCGGAACCAAGTGCTTGTATAAAAATCTTTTATATTATATATAGGTTAATGCTTAAGGCAACTATGCAGTTTTAGAAGAAATTCTTTATATCATGCAAATATAGCATATAGTAACTGCCATACAAGCTGACTAATCACAATCAAGTTCTTGTATGTAGTATTTTTTATTTGTGAAGGGAATTATTGCTTCTGTGAAACCGATTTGCAAGACACACCTTTCCAAAGCGACAAAAATTTGTAATGGAGTTGTAAGTACCATCTGAAAATTTGACCCGGACCTGTAAATATGTCTTTGATGAAGTTGGGTTTTCAGCTACGTAGTCATGTATCTCTTTTGCGGCCTCTGCTCGGATTAGTTTTTGCAAAAGATTCAAATCTTTTGGTAAGAATCTATCATTGACAAAAGCATGAACCAAAATGTGTTGAGTTGTTCCATAAGAACTGTTGAATCCTCTGCTATCTCTCTGACGTCAACACGGCTGTTTCTTCAACTTTACAAGCTTCACTAACTGCTTTGTGCTACTCAAATACTTGTATTTCTGATAAAGTGGACTCCCTAAAACACCTCTGCGACATTATCAACGATCCGGTAGCCGTCACTCCATTCCAAACGCACAATTTCAGGCGATTGTTAATTTTTGTTTTCCATGGTAAAACTCCAACTTTTCGCATTGTAAACAAACAGCTGCTAAGCACACACTAATTGACATATGGTGATATCAATCTAGGAAATAAAAAGTTTATCGATCACTTCAAAGACCGCTTGGGCGCAATTTATATACAATAAAAATTTGGAATTAATTCCAAGGCCCGATTTTCAAAATACCGGAATCAAACATCAACTAGCTGCTTAAAACTAATCTTTAGAGAGCAGATACTCGCTAAACGTCAAATATTAATGAGCCTTCTATGTACAATCTATAGCTAACTATAGGTAAATGTACCTAAATTTGATATCTTGGTTAATCTTAAACAAGCTATTAAACAAAATTTGAGAGAACTTTTGAAATACTTCGGATACATTTTTACTTTAAGTTTTCTATGTCACCTACATTTTTTTCGGCAAAGGAAAACTACTTGCTATAGTAGCAGTCTTATAATAACAATTTCAATAGACACTTGATGTCCACGAAGTGAGCTGTAATTATAAGATTAACGGACCATTAATCAAAAACTTTTGATATTTATATACATAAGCTCTTCTTATGCATTAGAATACGGTTAAATAATACTAAACTAGTAAAGACGAAAAATTTAAGAGCTAGTCTCCTCAAATTGTTGCGTAGAGATTATTGACTAAGTTGAGATCTCTACTGAGGGGAAAATCTAGTTTGCATAAATTACTAGACGTGGAATATATTCTCACGAATATTAAAATTTTGAAACCGAATGCCATGGTTTGATTTTCTGATATCTCTGAAAATTTGATCTGAAAACATCTTATTATATAATCACCCACAAAGTTTTCTAAAATCTTGGAGTGGATTCGACATATCATAGTTCATACCGAAGCCATCAAACAATGACAGTTTTGAAAGTAATGCATCATAGCTTCTGTGGAGCGAAGAACGAAGCATGAAGATCATCGTTTGGGTTAGGTTCGGTTACACCGGCTAGCTGTTATGCCATACAAACACCTACAGGTCCTTAGTAATGCTAGAACGTCAAAACTTTTTGCGAAGTTTAATAGAGACTTGATATCTAATTCTGATACTTTATCAAGTTCCTTGAACTGTAAAGCTTCTAGATATCTAAGCTGAGTTCTAGATTAGGCCGAACAGAGGCACATGAGGTGTTCTAGCGTCTCTCTCATGCCTACTGCACCCTGAACTTTCTACATGTGCCATTGTTAATAACGCCCATACGGCTCGTATGTGATGCTAGTAAGTTGTGACCTGTGACTAGGCCAACAACCGTCGCGCAGTCTTTTTGAAACCGTGTGAGTAGAAAGCTTGGGTGTTTTCCTTTCGCTCGTTTGCACATGATCTGTGTGATCGGGTATACCTTTAAGGCAATCCAAATCACTATGTCAGAAAAGTCTTTATTTGGATATTAGAAATGTTAGAATCTTTGTTATTGGACACAGTAAAGACAGTAAAGCTCTCATTTACAGACTATTTGTTCACATTTCAAAAAAGGTTCAATAAAGTATCGCTCAAGAGGACATCCGGGTGACTAAGGTGGCATCGAACATTTTATTTAGCGACAAAAATAGTATTGACGTTGTTTGACTTCAGAAGAAGAAATTTTTCGTACTTGGTTTATGATCATGGTTTTTGGTCGCCTGATCATGGAGTTTTGAAACTTTGTTGCTCATTATCCTAGACAAGTTTTTTTTTTTACCAATATGCTAGCTCTCAGCAAATAAATTAAAATTTCCGAACTTATTTATGAATTAGAAAGATTTCCGATAAATCATCATTCGAAAGATATTCATAAAACGTTTTCAAGTCATACAAAAGGAAACTGGAACAATATTTACACAAAAAATTGAAGTACAGTATTGATAATGTAATGAAATGAACTGTTGTAATTGACTAATAATAGCGTTTTTTTGCTTACAAAAATGCTGTATGGTATTTGTGAGAAAGAGCCCAGCGAAAACACATGCCATAGAGCTCGACCAATCTTACCGTTAAAGTCTTAAGCACCGCATTGGTAATATAATGTAATTTGTATGTTGTTTGCAATTTTATTAAATACTTAAATTTTTTTGATTTATATGTTTTGAGTTGGCATTAGCTTCCACCATTTTCTTATTAAATATTAACATTTGGAAATACTGCATTGATTAAATATTATAATGTAATTAGCTTAATGTATTTACTGTAATTTATTTATTTCAAGTCGTATTTCTTTTTTTCAGAAGGGTCTTGTTGTAAGAATTAGTTTCAATTATTTTATATTCAATTATATTTTTTGTCGTAGATACTGAAAAGAGTTTAACATAGCACTATATTTCATTTAAGCTACAACTATATTAACCTTATGTACTGGCCACAAATACTAACACTCGGCTCGCTTTTCTTTTTATCTCCGGTTCCCGTGCAGTCACTCGTCCATTCTAATTCAACGTAATGAATGTCAGTTCGGACAGTAAACTCGATTAAATGCGACTTTATTATGTTCTCTTATATACTTAATCGCACAGCAGATAGCCGCAGGCAATCTTCGTGCGCTGTATAACTCTTCGCCGCTTTTTTTTTAATATTGTTCCTTGCCACTTCCACTACACTTAGCCGTCACTCATAATTTACGTGAGATCCTGGTTAAGGACAATGCAAAGGGTGGACGTTTTTATTTTTATTTTTCAAATAGACTGTTGCAAGGCGGTAAATGGCTTTAAATAGCCGCAGCAAAACGCGGTTGAAGTGGGGTGAGGTAGGTAAGGTGCTGGAAGGCAATGCATAGCAAATAAAATATATATGGTAACAAAAAGTAGAGTAGTTGAAAGGAAACAAGTATGTGTGTATGTGTATTTATGAGTGGCAGGTTATAGATGTGTGTGTATGTGAGTATGTGTGTTGTATTAGAAGCTCGTAGCATGAATTAAATTCAATTTTATGTATTTGCTTGGCCAAACCGGTTCATTGCAAGCTTTCTATGGCCTTACAAATCATGTATGTACATATATATGCGTGTATGTGTATATTTGCTGCAATTTTAACAAACTGTACAACATTTATTTACTTTTGGTACTTCTGCTCTTTCTTTTCATACACGTCACACTTGTCGTTGTTGATTACTACGCGGTATTATCCATACATATGTAAATATATATATATATATATATATAAATACAAATTTTTATGTATGAATGCAGTGCCGCATTGCCGGCCGCACGTCGTCATGCCACATATAAAAAAGCGATTTCACATGACAATTTAAGCGACTGCGCCCAACGCTATGCAACACTCTGCGGCTTAAGTTTTCTGCAACATTTCAGCGAAGTTGTGCACGGACGATTTATGCCATAACCACAAGTAGAGCGATAGCGGAAGCGGAGAGAGAGAGAGACAGAAGTGCGTATAAACATGCACACACATACATGCACGCTCTGAACAAATTGCAATTACACACACACTCCCACAAGCGCTTTTGCAATAAATAAATACCAGCGGCATGTAAGCGCAAATGTTTTATAAAATACGGCCGCCCAATCGCAATGAAATGTAAATACAGTTAAATACGCGTATAGTGTATGTGTCGGCGCAATAAAATACAAAATACGCAATGTAAATAAAACATAAATAAAAATCAGTAAATAAAAGTGACAAGTATTAAAAATAGCACATCCGCATGCCGGCATTGACGCGCTGTTGTTTGCTTTGTTGTTATTGTTATTGTCTTTATTATATGTGTGCGCTTTTTCTTTAGCGCATATGTAGCTGTATTTATTTTATTATCTGCGTTTTGTGTCGCTTAACAAGCACGTACTTGATTTTATTTGACAATTCTATAGAAAATTGTGCTTTTAAAATATATTTATTATATTTTGTTTATTATATGCTTTGTTAAAAAAATTGATTTATTTGAGTAATTATAATAATAATTACATAGTGAGTAGTCTAGTGAGTTCTCTTTCCTGGAAAAGCTTGAGGTAGTCCGCTGTCAGCTGATTGCCTTCGTGAACGACGTAGCTCTAATGGTTAAGAGAAAATTACTGTATATCATGTATGAGCTAACTCAGTGGTACCTTAACATCGTAAGCAATTGGACTGTTGAAAACGGTGGGAACGCGTCTTTGGGCTGCTGACAGATTCAGAGATTATGGGTACTTAGATGATTGCGAGCCTGGGTGCTCTAAAATCGTGGTACACTTTGATTTTATTCCAAAATACTTGGATTATGAGGTCGCTAAGCCTAGCCCTGGCTGTTGTTTCTCTGCTAGTATAAACAATGTATATCGTATAGATAGATAAATATTCGGTGAGAACTGTTGTTGGTTTTGTGCTATATGATGTGGTTGCAACGATCGGATCGGAGGACTAGAGTCTCGCCATTGGTATTTGTGCGGCCGCCACTGCTTTCCGTAGTATGTTTGATTGGTTTACGGTGTCACCATGATACCTGATTTTGTTACCTTATGATACAGCTTAAAAAAGGTTGCAAAATGACTACTACCACTTCTACTTCCACCTCCAAACTTCTGACTAACTTTATACTTAAAATATTCGTCGATTGCACGTTTGTGTTGAATATGGTGTGGTACTGAAAATGAATAAAATCGGTTACTAGCCCATACGTAATAAAATGATTTTTGAACTTTAGGTAACTTTTTTTATCATAGATAACAAAATCAAGTCTATATATATAGATATACTGTACATTGAAGTTGAAAATGAATAAAATTTGTCCATCAATTACCAAAGTCCGCGTATATTAAATAAAACGGCTTTCGTTATTCACGTGCGGTCCAGAAAACTAGTGCAGCGAGTATAAATGCTTCTTTTAAACATAAATTAAATTGCGAGTAAAATCATGAAAAAACATTATAAAATCTCTCTTTGAATGTTTTTTTTTTGAGTTCAAAGGTCTTGGTCAAATATGTTGAAAGAGGATTAGCAACAAGCTTGTGTTTCACCCAGTAAATACTAATTTTTATAACGCTTACGCAGTCAACATATCTGTTGAAGAGCTCCTGTATAATCGATAACTGTTCATAAACACACATACTGTCACACTTTATTTTATTTTAAACATACAATATTTTGCATTGGTATAAGGCCAGACCTATTTCGATTAGAACGAAATTAAATTATTTGCTTATCGCGGGGTTCAAATTATGGAAATATCTAAATATTTTAATAATTTGATTAATTTATTAAAAAAATATAATAATTTTTAAGGTTTCCAGGAACCTATCCGCTGTACATAACAGTTGTTTGCGTAGTCATATAATCAAAGATCAATCCATTCGGATAGGTCCATTTAGACTTCGTGCGCCAACCTAATCGATAATTTGTTTCTTAAATTGGTACGACTATTTTTATGGCCATTAGTCTGCGCTTGTTAGCTGGCGACAAAAAAACTTTGTCAGGCGATATTTATATCGGGTAAGGACTCATGGCGCGTTCACAAAGGTGAATTTTTCAGTTTCGAAAAGAAAAAAGTCATAGAGAGCCAATTCTGGCGAATACGGTGGTTGAGCGATGACTCTCACTTCACGTTCAAGTCAATCAGAATGTGACAGCGCATTGAGGTATTTTGGTACGAATCTAACATTGAAACGCTTGATACTCAAGACATTAACTAAAATGTGTTGAGTCGATCCCTAAGAGATATTGAGATCTTTTGCAAACTTACGATTTTTTTTAAGTACTCTTTCTTTAACTTTTCCAATGTTATTATTTTCTTAGATAACCATAAACTAGCCAGTCATTTTATGTTTTTTGTAACGGATTTGCGAACCCTGTTTAGTGGTAACCAATTAAATGGAAGCCCCTTCCTATATATCTAGTGAGAGGAGATCTACGCGAGGATCTATTGCTACATGGTAAAGAGTGTCATGTAGGAACTTTTTACTGGAAATATATATTATTGGTATGACCAAATCTTTAGTACCTCAATTAGTAGCAGTACTTCAATTGCAAATGCGCTAGGTATAACCTTGTCACGCGATGTAAAACTAGCTCTTCATTTATGATGAATGTACCAAGCTATGCGAGAGAGCATTTATGAGGGTGGTGATTCGTTCTCTGAAGGTGACTTTTAATGGCTGTCTGTAGAACACCTTGGCATATATGTCGAAGATCGTCAGTATATTTCAAAAGTATTGTCTATATCGGATTTGGAGGTGCTGACATGTTGATGGTTAGCTGTTTTTCACCTATTCATGTCCAACATTTGTTGTGCTCGGGTATAAATATTGTCCGTCTGTACTCTGATAAAGGCAAATAAATAAATTTGAGAAAATATTTTATGTTTTTCAGGAGATATTTCTAGTTTTTGTTTGGTTTGGTTTCGATTCGACGAAGCCCTTTGTTGCTAAAGTTCCATTGAACGCACACGTTTTTTGTTGATCAAGCTCGGGAAGAAAAAAGTAAAGTTGAAAAGTTCAAAAGAATGTCGTTTCGCAGTAAAACAAAGAACAACAAATTTGTATTTATTTGAAAGGTTCACCAAAGTTAACCGTGTGCACCACTACGGATTTGTGGCTCAAGCCTACCATTTATGGCCAGTCTTTTTAGTTGCACAACTACGAATATTGCATAAATGAATTATACCTACAAACTCGTAGTTCGTGTGTATATATGTCAGGTGGTCCGTGGTGCTTTTTTATGTTTGTGCATGTGTAGCGTAAATTTATAAATTTTTTCGTGTTGCAAAGTATTAAAGATTTGCAGTTGGCAAGCACTTTATCGCTGTCTGTGCAGAAATTACGGCGTAAAATTGGTTGCTATGGCATTTCTATATGTAGTTATTGTTTTTATTGCAGTTTGGTAAACAGTATTTGCATTTGCTGCAAATACCAAATTAATGGCTGTCATATTCAATATTCAGTTTGTGCGAAATGTTGTACAAGTGCGTGTGTAGTGGAGAGTGAGTGTGCAAGTGTAAGTGTTGCCACATGTTTGCACATACATATAAATGTACATCTGGTATATTGCTTGGCATAAAAGGTTCACTTAATATGTCAATAAATCATCAATTCATTTGCCAACTTTCACTCAGCCATTTATTTATAATATTTTAGCTTCATTTTTCAACTTATTTTTTCACTCAATATACAATATTGCATATGTGCGAATTTTAAATTTTGATAATAGCATGGCCAGCATATCAATGCCGACACATACTCGCATATATTTAATTATTGACTTAAAAAATTGGTTTTGAGTAAAAGTCAAAATTAATCTTTGATGGAAATTCGCAATAAATCTTTTATTCACATTTATTTACATAAAAATTAGTCATGTTGGTGAGAGTACAGGGCGTGCGGCTCATACGAGAATATTGATTACACTACATACGAATATATTCATATCCATAATAATTGTGGTTTCTAAGCTTTTATTCATTCATGCTACAACATACCTATTTAATTGTTTCATTACTTTCTAGGAATTTTTAATGAACTAACTGGCATTCCTTTCTGGTAAAAGGCTACCTGGAATTTCTAATTAAATATAACAAAAACAAGAAAACGTTAACTTTGACTTCACCGAAGCTATAATAGCCATCACAAATAAAAAAATTTCCTTGAAAGAACTTGCTTTCGCACGTTCAGTTTGTATGACAGCTATATGCTGTAATGATCCGATTTAAACAGTTTATTCGGATAATACACCATTGCCTTAGAAAATAGTTCCTGCCGAATTTCGATAAGATATATCGTCAAATAAAAATGTTTTCATTATAGGTACTTGATTTCGATCGTTTAGTTTGTATGGGAAATGAGCAGCTTCTTGGAGAAAAAGGAACGTGTGCAAAATTTCAAATCGATATATGAAAAACTGAAGGACTAATTTGCGTATATACAGACAAACGGACAAACAGGCTAAATCGACTCAGTCACTCACGCTGATATATATTTTAGAGGGTTCCCGAGGTTTCCTTCAAGGTATTATAAGCTTCGTGGCAAACTTAATAGACCCTTTTCAGGGTATAATATTGTGCTTCCTAGTCGTTGGCTAATTAATGAGTTTTAAGTCGGCAAGCCAGTTCAGAGCCTTCAAAAAAAATAAAGTAACGGAAAAGGAAGCGAATTTCTTTATTTCAAGCTTTATGAAACATGCACATATGTATATATTTGGGTGAATAAAAAAATGTATACTAAGCTGATGACCCCATTGCTTTGACACTTCAGCGTATTAGGCAGGGGAAAACATATTTTTTTACCTTTCTTCCAATTAAATTACTGGTCATCGCTTTTAATAATTACATCAAAAACGTCGTGCATACAAGCTCATCAGTTGTACAGTGGTCAGTCATTCCGTTTTGGATTTTTAGGTAGGGATCTGAATGAAGTTCCTACATAATATATAAGGTTTAGTAAAAATAAAACGATTATCTTTTGAATAGATGGCTTTAGTACTCTGGATCTCGTACGCAATTGGGTTACTTCATGTGGCGTTAGGAAGAGAATTATGCGTACTAAAAACTTCTTTAACAGATTTATGATTGCTTGTCACAGTATTGTTTGAGCATGCGTCAAACCATCTGATAAAGAAAAAATACGCTATATTTTACAGCATTTAATCGATAAAGTCGAAAACGCAAGCACTGCGGTTTTAAATAAGAATAGTTTTTATGTTTCTGGAAAACCAAATGAAAATCGTCTAGTCCGACCATCATATTAGCACTATTTCGATTTT